AGACTCCCTCCTGATCATCCAGAGCAGCCTTTGGGGTTAGGGGAGCTGGCCTGTTACCCAGGAACTACCAATCCTTAGGAGAATCTGAGGCAAAGATTTGTGCAAGGTCAGTGTGTGTTTGATCAAACTGGATTCTGGCAAGCACAGAATGTAGGATTTCCCCCCAAGCTAGTAATTGGATTTGCAGGAAATTAGCTGGCCAAAGTTCTCTGCCAGACTTTGTGGGCAGGAGTTCAGCCAAGAGAGACTGTGATAGACAAATTATAAATCCCCAGAAACAGGTTTCTTTGTAAAGCTATGGGAGCAGCAGCCTTAAAAATGAGTATCTCTTAGCACTTTGCACTCTTATATCTCTGGTTTGAGAGACAGTTGTGATGCTACTGTGGTGGGAAACAGGAAAGCTCCTTTGTTGCTTTCTGGTGTTCTTGGAAAAAGCAGTGACTGTGTCTCACTCTGGGTTTACCTATGTGGAAATGGTGATTTCCATGGAAACTAGAATGATAGCCAGCAGTACAATAACCCCTGGGGACACTTCCTTCTGAAGTTAATACAAATCCTTATTTCCAATATGAAGATCAATTGGAAAAAAACCAAAACAGCAGCCTTATGAATTCTTCCCCATTTTTTTCCCCCTTTCCCATCTTTTTAGTGAACTATACTGTCCCTTCCCTGAGCTCCTGGCTCCTTCATCATAGAATGGTTTGGGGTGGAAGGGACCTTCAAGATCATCTAGATCCAAACCCCTGCATGGGCCGGGACACTTCCCACTAGACCAGGTTGCTCCAAGCCCCCCTTGAACACTTCCAGGGATGGGGCAGCCACAGCTTCCCTAGGCAACCTGTTCCAGTGTCTCACCACCCTCACACTGAAAAATTTCCTCCTCATGTCTCACCACAATCTCCCCTTCTCCCGTTTTAATCCATTCCCCCTTGTCCTCTCACTACAAACCCTTGTAAGAAGTCCCTCCCCAGTTTTCTTTCCCCAAACCAGATGCCAGCTTCTCCACAGGCCTGACACATACTCATTGACAAGTTTGTCACAGATCTCGCTGGGCAGGAAGATGTCGGGATGGAGCCGGAGGGTCTCGTTGTCCAGCAGGTAGCAGAGAGTCCCCTCCAGGTTGCGAAGGCAATAATCTGTGCACAGGGTCATCAGTGACTCAGGGCTGTCAGATGCCATCTTGAGGGAAGTTGTGGGAAAGGGGAAGAGCAGAAGGAAACTTTTGATTCAGTAGATCCTTTCCTCAGGTGAAGTTCCAGGATAATTTTACGGGGACATCAGGACAGCTACAAGCAGAGGAGAGGGGGCAAAAAAAAAAGAGATGTGTTGGCAAGTGTCCTGCCAAGCTGTTGTACCAGCAGGATGTTGATAGTTGTATTTACAGCCCACCACTTGCTGACCTCTTAAAGAACCTGCAGCACTTTGGCCTCTCTGGCAGTCTGTCCTTAATCCTTTGTTGTCCCCACCCTCTGGGGACACTGTGGGAATGAGTTAACATGAAACATGTTTGGAAATGAGACTGCACGGGGAGAAAACGTGTCCTCCTTGAAGGGGTTATCTGGCTGACCAAGGGCCTCTAGAGGGGAAGTGGCAGAAACCACATATCTTGGTTTCCTTCAGGGTGAGTTGGATAAAGCACCAGAACATTTACTGTTGGGATGATCTTGTACAGTCCCAGTGGGATCTGGTGGCCCCATACCTTGTGCCTGTCATTCTCTTTGTCATCCTTTCAAGTGGAACTTGATGTGCAAGCTGCATGTTTCTCTGTAAAGCCAACCCAGAAGCTTCATGCAAGCCCTTGAACTAGCCCGTGAAGTGGATCAGAAGCCAGAGGGAAATGTAC